ATCCTATATAGGTATGGCCGGTGTGCTCACTGGCTGAGTGTGATGCAGACCACACCATGCCGAGGGTTGCGATCCCCTTATCGGTCCAAAAAAAAAAAAATTCAGTTCCTCAGTCCCACTAACTACATTTTAAGTATGTATATGGCTAGAGGTTACCATATTGGACAGTAAAGATATAGAACATTTCCTTTATTGTACATAGTTCTATTGGGCAATGCTGTTCTAGAATATTCTTTATCATCCTCTACATCCTTCCTCCTGTGTGACTTCCTCAGGGCAGCCCTCTCTATCCCTCTCCCTTCAATTCCTACTAGAGTCAGTTTTCTTTGTATCTAAGTCCACCAAAGACCACCATGAACATGTCTGCAGTCAAAGTTACAGTTATTTAACCTGCTTGAGCAGTGGACCCTCACAAGCATCTCAGTAAGGGAGAGTTGGAAGGAGCTCTTCTTAATGTTTGGTCTTGTGCTGGATGAATCTAACGAGGGATTGTGGAAGTGACTATCAGCGTTGGATTGGACACTGTCAAGATGTAGGGGCACCCAGAAACTGGGTATCCCAGTAATCATGGTTCAGGAGATGGGATGAACTAAGTGGGGCTGAAGATGTCTTTGCAAAAAAATCCACAGTCACCCAGAAGGAGGGGATGTTACTCACTTTTGTAGCTGTGTTACTGTCTTCTGGGGTTCTGTTGGAAACATTGCTTCTCTTCTGTTGGCCTTTCCTGTGTTCCGCTGGAAGCATTGCACTCTGTAAGGAACCTCAAGGCAGATTGCCAGTGGTGCCAATTTTCACTTTCTCATAGAAAGTGACAGTGATGTGCTATCATAGAACTGTTGCTCTTCTTCACGTGCTTGCATGCAGAATTTTTAAAATGAATACTTAATTATTTTTTTTGCCACTAGACCAGAAGCTTCACGAGAGCAGGGACATCTCTTTTTGTTCACCATTGGAAACATAGCACTGAGCCCCTAGTGGTACCTGATAAAAAGTAGATACTCAGTAATATTTATTGAAAGAGTGAATGAATGAATGATAGGATCTAAAAAATTATGGCTGATCGAAGACAAGGAATTCTTTAACTATATCTGATTTCCCCACAGCTTAAGAATCATTGTCTTTCTGTGGTAGATTCTTAGCAGATGTCATCCCCCCAACCCAAGAAAAACTAGAATTCCAATATTCAAGATTTAAAAATGTTTTCCATTGTCTGATGTCTTAGGTCCTTTAAGGGTAATCTATCAAATATATGTTATCATACCTTCTTTACTATTATTTTTCTGAGTCCAAATGATTAAGAAATTTGTAGAGGAACTACATCAAATCACAGTAGGGTGCAGTGATGTGGGCTGTTTGACTGCCTTTCGGCACCCTATGAATTGTATGAAGGGGTCTCCAAGCAGTTGAGGAAACTTGATAACTGTAGCCAGAGTGGCCCAAGCATTTTGGTTCTAACTCTTCATACTAAATCATCTAGGGCCATGTAACCCATCAGTGTAATCAGATCTCATCTAAAGGATTGTGATGTTTTCCAGGTGAACAAAATCAAAATCCATTTGATTTTTAAAAAAATTATAAAGATAATGTAAGAGAATTAAAAATTTTTAAGCTTGGAAAAAAAGTAATATCCATGTCTGTAACATCTCAAGTCTTTTCCAGGTGAACAAAATCAAAATCCATTTGATTTTTAAAAAAATTATAAAGATAATGTAACAGAATTAAAAATTTTTAAGCTTGGAAAAAAAGTAATATCCATGTCTGTAACATCTCAAGTCTTTTTATTTTTTCACAGTTCTTGCAATAGAGTAGGAGTCTGTATTTCAGTCAGCATATAGTTTACAGTCTTTCTGTATCACACCTTCTCATATCACCTGCTGGATTAGAGTCGTAGAATTTACAAGTCCAATATGTTTAAGTAGGCTATACTGTTCTTAGGCTGCAGAGCTCTATGGTTTGGACAATAAATTGATTCAGGCCATGTTTATTAATGCTGATTCCCTGTGGCTGTTATGGATTACTGCATATTCCTTCAATGACCTTGGAAATGTACCCCTTCTACTCAAAGTCACTTCCTTAAATGCTTTTTCCATCATGCTAGTCTCCTACTCCAAAATTTCCTAATTCCTAATTATGCTAAGTGTAAATACCTTTTTCCAAATCAGCCCCGTCCAGAAGAATTTTCTGCAGTGATGAAAATTGTCTTTTATGCTATCCAATATGGTAGCCAGTAGCCACATGTGGCAATTTAGTACTTGAAATGTGGCTAGAGGACTGAGGAACTGAATGTTTACTTTTATTTAATTCTAGCCAACTTAAATTTAAACA